GGTTTTGCCATGTGAATTCTGCAAATGGGTCCTCCTTTCTTTTTACTTTGAGCCCTTTATCTTCTTTTCTTGTGTTTTGCTAAGCTCGATATATTGCAGTCATCATTTACAATCTGCCTGTTCTTTACTTTCTGTTCTTTATTTTGTAGTTTTATATACCTATCCTTTTGTTTTGTGTCTCTTTATTGTTCTTTTGGATCCGAATCCAAAATTTGTTCGATTGATGTGAAATCTCACGTCAGTTTGAGAAGAGAACGAAACATTACTTATAAAGATGTGGAAATCTCTACCTAGCAGACGCGTTTTAAAACCGCAAGTATAACAGCCCAAGCTCACTGGTAGCAGATATTGTCCTCTTTTGGCTTTCCCTTTCGGGCTTACCCTCAAAGTTTTTAAAACGTGTATGCTAGGGAGAGGTTTCCTCTTTTGGCTTTCCCTTTCGGGCTTACCCTCAAAGTTTTTAAAACGTGTATGCTAGAGAGAGGTTTCCACACACTTATAAAGGGTGTTTCATTCTCCTCTCCAACTGATGTGGGATCTCACAACCCATCCCTCTTTTTGGGCCCAACATCCTCGCTTGCACTCATTCCTTTCTCCCATCGATGTGTGACCGCCACCAAATCCACCCCTTTCGAGGCCAGCGTCCTTACTAGCACACCGTCTCGTATCTACCCCCTTTCGGGAACAATCTCCTTGCTGGCACATCGCCCAGTGTCTGGCTCTGATACCACTTGTAACGGCCCAAGCCCACTATTAACAGATATTGTCCTCTTTGGACTTTCTCTTTCAGACTTCCCCTCGAGGCTTTAAAACGCGTCTTGTAGGGAGAGGTTTCCACACCCTTATAAAGGGTGTTTCGTTCTCCTCCCCAACCGATGTGGGATCTCACAATGAGGTTAACGCGTAATGGGTCAAAGCAGATAATAGATGTTAGCGGTGGGCTTGACTATTGCCGTTTCCTTTCGAGTTTCTAACTAGCAAGTTAAGGATGAGAAGTTGTTGTTTCAGAAGAAATCTTCGGCATCTCCCTCATAGATTTCTTTTTGTGTAACTTCAAAATTAAGAAAAGCATTAATCTTCAAAACCCTCTCTCTGAAATTAGGATCTTGCTTCCTTGTTTTGTGTGTGCATTTAGGATACTTTTTTGAAATACTCAAGTAATTCAAGCCTTGAAGTTGCTTCTTTTGCTTGAACAGCCCAGAGAAACCTTATGAATCTGGCAAGAAACACACAGCAATATCCTCGTGATTTCGGTTTTGATTCGAGCCTAACGAATTCGTAGTGTCACAAACTTGTTTCATACAAAGGGGACAAATCAAGATATGGGATGTTCCATGTCAAAGCTGGAAGATGAAGAGGCTGTTAAACTTTGTAAAGATAGGAAGAACTTTATCAAACAAGCTGTTGAGCAGCGGAGACGATTAGCTTGTGGACATCTAGCCTACATCCAGTCGTTAAAACGAGTATCTACTGCTCTTCGTGAGTATGTCGATGGATACGAACCTCGTGAGTTGTTGTTAGATTCATTCATTACACCACCTTTCACACCTGTAAAGAAAACAAGTCCTGGTCTGATATCAATAACGCCGAGGTCGTTTCCACAACTTCCAATCGAGTCGAAACCGAATCGAGTGGTGAAAGTAAACTACCTAAGATCAGGAGGAAATGGGGCAGTTTCTGTAGAAGAGAGACCCCAATCACCAGAAATAGTGAGAGTTCAATCTTATTCACCTATGCATCAATATGGATTTGATGGTTTCTTTCCAATGCAATCCCCACCAATGAATTCCTCATTCTTCTCTTATTCTCCTAACAACAGACCAAATATCCCTCCCCCGTCACCTACACCCGAAAGTTCGCAATGGGACTTCTTCTGGAATCCGTTTTCGTCGTTGGATAACTACGGCTACCCTTCGAACAATGGTCTCGATCATATGGCAATGGATGATGAGATCAGAGGGCTAAGACAAGTTAGAGAAGAAGAAGGGATTCCCGAACTGGAAGAAGACGAAACCGAGCAGGAAGACAATGACAATAGCTATAGGTGGGAAGGCAACAGCAATAGAGTAAATACCATGGACGACAGAACACAAACTGGCCAAAGTTGTTGTAGAGAGGAAGTTCTTGTCGAAGATGTGGACGAGGATGAAGAAGATGAGGATGAAGATGAGGACGAGGATGAAAACGAGGACGAAATGAACTATGGAAACGAGATGGGCCATGAACTACAAGGCATACGATCTCGTGGTAATGGGAAGATCGACGTTTCAAGAGTCCAGAATGCTGGACCTGTTGCAAGTACAAGCCAAGAATCAGCAGTGGTCGATCTCGAATCAAAGGACGAAACACCGGGTTTTACTGTTTATGTAAACCGAAAGCCAACGAGCATGGCAGAGGTTATCAAAGAGATAGAAGCTCAGTTTATGACAGTTTGTAATTCAGCTAATGAGGTCTCAGCACTGTTAGAGGCTAGGAAAGCTCCCTACATGACTACCTCAAATGAACTTACAGGTTAGTTCCACAAATACTTCTTCTTTTTCCTTCTCGTATGTTGTGAGATCCCACATCTGGGGAGGAGAACGAAACACCCTTTATAAGGACATGGAAACCTCTCCCTAGCAGGCGCATTTTAAAAAACTTGAGGGGAAGCCCGAAAGAGAAAGCCCAAAAAGGACAATATCTGCTAGCGATGAGCTTGAACTATTACAAATGATATTAGAGCCAGACACCAGATAGTGAGCCTCGAAGGGGGGCAGACACCGAGCGGTGTACCAACGATGACGTTGGGCCCAGAGTGGGGTAGATTGTGAGATCCCATGTCAGTTGGGGAGGAGAACGGAACACCCTTAATAAGGGTGTGGAAACCTCTCCTTAGCAGACACGTTTTAAAAACTTTGAAGGGAAACTCGAAATGGAAAGCCCAAAGAAGACAATATCTATTAGAGGTGGGTTTGGGTTGTTACATATGTGATTTGCATTCAAATCATTTGTTCACGAAGTCTAATTCTTCCTTGCAGCCATGAAAATGTTGAATCCAGTAGCATTGTTCCGCTCGGCTTCATCTCGCTCTTCCTCATCGAGATTTCTAATCAGCTCTTCTGCAACTAAGGATGAAAGTGGTTACGAGAGCACCGACGACATATCAGAAGAATCCAGTTCATTTTCACCCGGTCATCAATCAACATTAGATAGATTATATGCTTGGGAGAAGAAGCTCTACCAGGAAGTGAGGGTATGTAGCTCAAATCTTCTTCTGACTTGTAATGTTTCCTGCATTAAAACTAACCACACTATCCAGTTAGGCTACTCAGATCTTAGGAGCCGATTCTTCGATCGTGACAGAGATGATTATTTGGCCTCAAACCATGTTCTAGATGTCTTATATAACTTTCTTTGAGGTATTGCAGCGGAGACGACTGATCTTTATAATTTCCGTCTTATGAAACAGTCTGGAGAAAAGATTCGAATCGCGTACGAGAAGAAGTGTAATCAACTGAGGAACCAAGATGTAAAAGGAGAAGATCCATCTTCAGTAGAAAAAACAAGATCTACCATGAGAGATCTGCATACTCAGATAAAGGTTTCGATCCACTCGGTTGAAGCTGTGGCAAAACGAATCGAAACGTTAAGAGATGAAGAATTGCAACCTCAACTTCAAGAATTGGTTCAAGGGTAAGTATCCATTGTTGAACATGGTTGATTAAACGTGAACCTAGCCATCATAGTTCTTGTGATGAACAGGTTAGCAAGAATGTGGAAGGTAATGGCAGAATGTCATCAACTACAGAAGCTGGCATTAGACGAAGCGAAGCTTCTACTTGCCGGTATACCGTCGAAGTTGGATGCTAGAAAGCTCTCTTCATCTCGTGTCATTGAGCCAAATTGGCTAGCGCGTGCATCAGCCAATCTTGAGACAGAGCTCAGGAATTGGCGTAGCTGTTTTGAGTCATGGATCGGTTCTCAACGATCTTATATGCACGCAATAACCGGATGGCTTCTCCGCTGCGTAAACTCAGATTCCTCCGACGTTACAAAGCCTCCGTTTTCTCCTCGTCGGTCAAATGCATCAGCACTTCCAATCTTTGGGCTTTGCATCCAATGGAAGAGGCTCTTGGATGAAATCCAAGAGAAGCCAGTGCTAGATGGACTTGACTTCTTTGCTGCTGGAATGGGGTCGCTCCATGCACAACAACAGCAACGAGACGACGCTCACCGGATACAAGTCGGGTCACAGAGTTCCAGGGGAGCGGAGGGATCGAGCGGGAACATGGAAATGGTGGAGTTTGGGAAAGTTGAAGATGAAATGAGTGCTGAAAAAATGGCTGAAGTAGCTATAAGAGTGCTGTGTGCTGGATTGTCATTTGCTGTGAGCTCATTGACTGAGTTTGCTATCAGTTCTGCTGATGGATATAGTGATCTTCTTAAGCAAAGGCCAAAAGGAGATGACAGCCAAATGGCTCAATAGGGTTTAAGTGGGATTTGGAACATAATTTTACAAATGCTTTATTTGTAGCTTAGAATTTATTTGTTTTTTTTTTTTTTTTTTTGGTTGGGTTAGAAATTGGCTTCAGAAGATGTATTTAGTTGAAATCTAACTTAGATTAATATGAAGTTAATGTATTTTTCTAACCCTTTTGGGGAGCGAGTTAGATAGTTCTTTGACCGAAGGCATAGCTGAAGTTAATATTAATGAAAATCAGATTGACTTGACTGAATGCAATAGTGTAGAAAGGGTATTCAAAAATTGATTCATTTTTTTTAGTTCAAAGAGTGAAATCGAAAATTTCGAGTTTTCAGGAAGATTACGCGTCTTAAGCTCATATTGCTACATTTATACTATTCATTTCGCAAAGCTTCAAACCAAGAAGCCGGGTAGGATGGTTATAAGGGTTAGCCCACAATCTTGGTTAAGTGAAGTATTATAATAGGTACTCACAAAATCCAGACTCCACAGGCTATATAGACATCTCTACTTACCGAAAAAATAAATCAATGGAAGGTAATCAGAAAGAACACATCTAATTCTCAACCATTTAACAAAGATCAGTAGCAAAATTTCATGTCCTTAACAAGAACAGCTAATGAACTGGCAAATTCAAGTAAGTGCATAGACATAATATCCTGAAGAGAAAATTTTAGTGCTAAAAATTATGAGATTGATAAACAATAGCAAGTAATTATACCAATTAATCAAAAAGTGAAAAGCCAAGGTCATCATCATCACTCTCTTCCTTCACCTCCTCCTTCGCTGCAGCTGGGGCTTCTGCAGCTGGTGCAGCTCCTCCAGCAGGGGCGGCTGCCGCTTCTCCGCCACTAATGATGCCACCGCCACTAGCACCACCGATGATCACCTGAAATAATAAGGTTTAGGCTAGGCGTACATGGTAGGCAATAACAGAGATATCATAAATAGAGTTCAAAGGACCCTTCACTTAAACCAAGCTTTTCTAAATACTTTGCTAGAAAGCTTTCCAACAAGGAATCACACAATATCAGAATTTCTTATTCAAAGAAGTTTGATTTCAATGTAAAAGTTGGGGTGAATGCAGATAACTTGTAACCAATCAAGAAACTCAGCAATGAACATACTAGAAATATGATTGCCAGCAATGAAATGATTCAAAATGCGTTCATATATTGAGAAAGAATTTGGAGGTCTTGCTGGTTGAACAAATTCATATTAGTGGATTATATAATCAAAATCCATATTCGCAAATGAACGACATTACCCTACAGATCGAACTTAAAGTAATACTCACGCATCAAAAAGGAAAAAACTAGGTAAAGATAATCTAGTCATTGCAAACCGACGGAAAAAAAACACAATCAGTTAAATACTGAGATTAACCAAATCAAACATTAAAGTGTAAGTGCGTGAGATCGAGAACAATCAAGCAATAAAATCAAATATATTCGAAGAATCCACTAGACAAACGGGTAAAACAGAACATGTATTGATAATCTCGACAACTTTTCGCCTATTTCAGCGAATATCCAGAAGAGAAAATGAAGAACACCTGAAAAACAGCGGAGCTGGGAGAAACGTAAGAGAATGAGGACTGAACGCCACCGGAGGAATCGACAGAGAGAGCAGACGCAACGAGCTTCCTCTGGAGATCATAGGTTGAAGCGGCGGAACCTTCAAGGACGCCTGAGTACTGATTGGCGGTCCACTCGCCACCGGATTTCCGACAAACGAAGGTGAAAACTCCCATTGTTTGATCTTCGAACGTGAATTTTGATCGAAGCAAATTGCGAAGAAGAAAGGTAGAGCGTAGGACTAGCGGCCGTTCTCCGGATTGGTGTTTGGTTTTTATGTGAGGAGAAGGAGCCCTGGCGAGACAAAAAAAGTTAGGGTTTTTGATTGAAATGACTGTTTTACCCTCCTGAGTTTTATTACTTTTGATTGAGTCATTGCCCTTTTGGGAAAGAAAAAATGTTTTATTTTATACTTAATAGGCTCCAAAAACTTTAAAAATACTAAATTATAGAAAATATTAGTCTCGTTTCAATAATATTAGTCTTGTATCAACGAAAATTGTATTGGACCCGAGGTTGTGGAAACCTCTTCAAAGGAACTCGTATAAAATTTTATGTACAGAGTTTGTACTTTGTCTTAACTCCATCGTTCTATATGATAGGATTGGAACAAAAATTTAGATCTGAATTTGCCTCTAAGCAGAGCATGCTTAAAGGACATGTGTCAGTTTGTGGGGGATAGTATTCACTCTTAAAAGCGAGAAATAAGTAACATGACTATGTCACAAGGGATGCAAGGCAATGTTGGAGCCATCAAGTGTCGAACCCAAATTTTGAATCATAATCAGTATCATGAACATGGGGTGCTACAAATAGTATTAGAGTGATGTCTCTCCCAATAGTACGTGGTTTGGTGTGATGTCCCACATTAGTTGGGAGGAGAACAAAACACCCTTTATAAGGGTGTGGAAACCTTCTCCTACCAGATGCGTTTTAAAGCCTAAAAGGGAAAGCTCAAAGAGGACAATACCTGCTAGTGGTGGATCTGGTTTATTACAAACAGGTATCAGAGCCAGACACTGGATTATGTGCCAGCAAGAAGGCTCTTCCCCAAAGGGATAGACACGAGACGGTGTGCCAGTAAGGACGTTGGGCCCTAAAGGGGGGTGGATTTGGCGGGGATCCCACATCGATAGGAGAAAGGAGAGAGTGTCAATGTATATTACTAACTGCATTCATGTACGACTTTTATAGCTCAAATAAGAAAACCACTGGATCGAGCTAAAGTACAAGGGTTTTCCTTCAACTTTTTCAACAGAAATGATGGTGACAATGATAGTGACGAAGCAATAACTCAACATGACAACTTGTGATGAGGAATAAAAGGGTGGTGAACGACAATGAGAAGAACTTGATTCGTGGGGGCAACTCCTTTGACTTTTCAAATGCACTATGGTGTGACAAAAGAGAGAATTGGAGAGATCGAGAAAGTCGAATTCATTCCCACAAGGTGTCCTAGGTGAAAGAGGAGGCTCTATACACGGTTGAAAATGGTAACGAAAATAGCCTTCAAATGAAAATCGTAGGGATGTAATAATGACCCTAAGCAGAGGTCTAAGAAATTCGAGTTGTTACATTGTAGCTTGTTCTTAAGATTAAATCTTCAAACCGAAAAATTTATGACGTTCAAAGAATTTCGATGTTCAAAAGGTGTTCGAATTTTCTTATCGATAGTTGAACTTGTAATAATGTTTGGGCTCAACCATTGGATTTAGCTTATAGACTTTGGGCTACCTCTTTGAGTTTGGAATTCAATTTTTTTTTACTTCCTCCATCCAATTTTAAAAATGGTATGATCGTACGAAAATAAATTGAAAACAACAATGTCATGTTAGATGATGAACACGACGACTCTCCACAAGCTTTAAGAAAGGTCTAATACAATAGTATTCATTGATTATAAACCGATGATCAATTCCAAAATTAGCCATTGTGGGACTTTCTTTGATTATAAACTCATGAACATTCCCTAAATTAGGGGAGGTGAGACTTTCATCCAACACCCTCTCAAACAAAATCATTCCCTAAATTAGCCGATGTGAGACTTTCATCCAACACCCCCTCGAACAAAGTACGCCTCCTCTTAATCGAGGCTCGACTCCTTTTTCTTTTGGAGTCATTTGTTCCACATTTGATAGATCTTTATTTGTTGGAGAATGAAATTGATTAATCTTCCTTTCTTTCAATATATTTTTAGAAATTAAATAAATTTAATTTATAAATTTTCATATTAAACTTTTTTTTATTTATTAATATAATTTTTTAAAGTTTATTATTGAAATAAAATATTATTAATTTTGTGTCGAATAATAGATTGGTGACGTATTTCATTTATTTTAAATATATATATATATATATATATTATAAATAAAGCATTATTTTATTTGGGGATGAAAAAACAAATTGAGCTGTATGACCATATGCATTATTGGGGTTAATTATTCATTTGCTTTTCAAAAATCAATTTGGCCCATTTTCCTTAATTGCCCTCCATCCTTTTCAAATAAAATAAATAAATAAATAAATAAATAAATCACCCACTAAATAATTGATTTCTTTCATCACATTTCATATCTCATGATAGAGCTTCATGGAATCTTTTTTTCTTTTTTTTTTAATTTAAATTATCACATTTCATTTGCATAATTTGAATTATTCAATCAATGTCACAATATAATTAATTGTCTTAAAGTATAAGCTTCTCTAAAATAATTACGTGCTTTTCATGCATGCTTTGACTTTTTTTTTTTTTTTTTTTTTATTTATTTGCTTAGCCTATATATTTATGGTGATTTTGATATTAAAAGCTAAAATTTGCTTAATATTTTAAAAAAAAAACGACAAATACTAGATCTCATTTTTACTATATTTTTATTTCTTCAATATCGTATACTTATACAATGTCGTGTCAATAGATTGGTAAATCCTCAAATGTTGAACAAATGACTCCAAAAGAAAAGGAGTTAAGCCTTCTCGAAGGCATAATAAAAAATGACCTCGACTCCAAAGCAGTCGAATCTCGATTAATGGGAGGCGTACTTTGTTCGAGGGGAAGTGTTGGATAATGAAAGTCCCACATCGACTGATTTAGGAAATGGTCATGAGTTTACATTCTTGATGGCAGCGGACTTGCGATTGTGCGGTACTCACTTTCCAACGACAAGTGAGCTAACCCAATTCGTTTTTACGTTGCCTACGGCCAAGCGATGTATGTTCGAGCCTCTGGTTTCGGTTTAAGAATAAGGTTTTAGAAAACGAGGGTAGAGAGAGATTTTCGAAAGAGACGTTATATATACAAGTAAGAGAGTAACAACAACGAGTCACAGTATATAACTATTGGTAAGGAGATAATAGGCCTTTTGGGAAAGCAAAAGTACTCTACGGATATTCATACCTAAATGAGCTACTACATCACATAACTTACGCTCACAACCACATACACAAGACAAGACTACTCACTAATCTTCTTATATCAACTCTCTATTACTACTTTTTAAAAGATATCATACTCCACTCAAACTACAATAAATTCTAACTAAAACCAATGTATCACATACTCACGGCAGCATCCCTCATTGAGGGGTGGGGTAGAGATACTGAGGTTTGACGTTTAGTAATTCAATAAGTCACAGTATATAACTATTGGTAAGGAGATAATAGGCCTTTTGGGAAAGCCCAAAGCAAAGCCGAGAGCTTATGCTTAAAGTTGACAATATCAAACCATTGTAAAGTAATTTCAATGTTAAAAATTAAATTAGGATTTTTAATTTTTTTCTTTTAATGATTTAAAGGTCAAATAGTCTATGCTGCTTCAACATCTTAGGGTGGAATTTAAAAAAAAAAGAATTATCCCTCCGTCTCTCATATGGATTTCATAACTGGACACAATGAAGCTATTCTACAAATAATCTCTCATGAATTTATTAGCACTGCGCTTTCTTTCTTGGCCGGAACAAGTTATGATAGAATACTTCTTGTTTATCTCGATGAAATGAGCGGAATAGCTATTTCAGTTCCAAAAATATTCACAACTTTTAGTATCTTATCGATGGCTTCCATTACATTGCCCAGTATAAGCGGTTCTATTGCATAATTAAGTATTTTTTGGAACTTTTAATTCTATGTTTAAGGGTAGTTTTTTTTAGTATTTTGTTTAAATATAAAATGAAAAGTTCCTAAACTTTTGTCATTTTTCAAAATTCAATCCAATATCAAACCAAAAAATTACAATTTTTTTTTTTTTTTTTTTGAAAGTTTATAGTTATCACATATTTGTTTAAATATCAAATAAACCGAACCCGAGACTAAGCTTGTAATCAAACAAAATGGGACAATTACGTTCCTCCTTTCCGTGCCCTTTTTACCTATAAAAACCAAACCCAAGTCATTAATTTTGGAGAGAAAAAAAAAACCTGGACTATGATCCTATGGAGTTGAATTAAATTGAATTACACAAACAGGGTTGTCCGAAAATGATGGATAAATAATGGAAACAAGTTCTTCTGGGTTGAAAGTTGGTGAATGATTAATATAAAGAATGCTTGAGAATAGAATAAATCTATCTGTCACATAAGAAAATCCCCATATAAGAGAAGGAAGTAATTTCAATTTTAATTAATTGATTATTAAGATTCCAGTTCATTTCTGCTTGCTTGGGCTCCTCCCTTCTGTTGCAGTTAGTGATCAGCACGCCTTGCCTTGCCTCGCCTTGCCTCTCATTTTCAATACAACTACTTTTTTGGGTCTCTTTCTCTTTCTCTTTCTCTCTCTACATTTCTATACTTGTTTTTTTCTCTCTTCTTCACCTCAACACTTCACTTTCTCTCTCCCCCAAAGTCCTTTTTTCGTTCTCTCTCTCTTGTGCGCTGTGAAAAGTGGGAAACAGTGTTGTTTGTATCATTCTGACCCTGGGACTGGATCTGGGTGCTTCTCTGCTTGGATTTTCCATTTCCGATTAAGCTTAATCGGCCTCGGGTACTCGGAATCAATCTTTGATTCTCTTGATTTCTGTTCCTTCTTTTGGTTTCAGTGTTGGGGTTTGAATTCTAGAACATGGGTCGTTTTCTTTAAGGGTTTTTGTTCATGGGAATTGGGGAAAACTGGAGATTTCTGTGGTTGAATCGTTTTTTGTTGGGTGTTGAGTGTTTGATCTGATCGAGTAATGGGTCTTCGGGATTGAGTTTTTATGGATTGATTCCGTTGAACTTGTTCTCTGGCTTAGTTGAGCTGAATTGTGTTGGAACTAGACTTGATTTGATTCATTTTGAACAGTATGTATTGTTCTAGGGAGTTAGAGAGTTGGCTAATTAGTTTATGTATTGTTCTAGGCCTTCCACCTATTGTTTTGAATAAAGATTGTCATGGGAATTCAAGAAGAGTGCTAGGCCGTATCATATATATATATATATATGTGTGTGTGTGTGTGTGTATGTCTATATTTATGTTTGGATATTGAGCGGTGAATCCATTTGGATTTCCTTGATCTCTCGAGCCTTTCTTTTTCTATTGTTCTTCTGTTTGTTTGATGTTCTAACTCACTAAGTTGTTTCTGAACTTCGCTAGCAAGACTATTCTAACTTCTGAGGTTCTTTAGTTTGTAAATGTTGAAGTTTTTATGCAACCTTTCAATTCTAAGAATTGGGTCGGGAAGGAAGTGTCGAGTTTCTCATTGACGTTATCGGTTGATTTGTTTACTTTGTACTGTCCTAGAATCTTGCTCATTTCATAATTCTTTGTTTTGTTATGCAGGGTGGAATAGCTGTGTTTCTGTGGTGGGAAATACTATAGAACTATGGCCGTCTCCATGAGAGATTTGGACCCAGCTTTCCAAGGGGCAGGACAAAAGGCGTATCCTTAGTGATTAAGATTTTGAATTTTTCTGTGTTCGATATCAACACTGCATCGAAAAAGATCCAATCAACTATATTTCAACGCTTACGATAGTAATTGGTATCTAATCTACCAAGCTATGTTCAGATTAGCAAATTTCCAAGAAACTAAAGATTTTATTCATTCCTTTATGACTTTCACATTTTGTTCCTTGACACTTTAAAGTGGGCTAGAAATATGGCGCATAGAGAATTTTAATCCTGTTCCTGTTCCAAAGTCTTCTTATGGGAAGTTCTTCACTGGTGACTCTTATATTGTTCTTAAGGTAACAAATGGATATTAATTCCTAAAGAGCAATACATACATAGATATCCAAGATATGCGAAGGATTAGTTCTATATGCATACTTATCTGCCTAAAAAAGCATTATATAGTCTACTGTTTATGTTTTGGAATTATTGGGACACAGACAAAGGTTATATACTCAACTTGTTGAGTGTCTTTTTAGCTTGTCTTATTAGTATATAAATCTCAAAGGAATGTTTTCATGTGTTTTAACTTTTTTGTGCAGACAACCTCCTTAAAAAGTGGTGCCTTGCGGCATGATATTCATTATTGGCTTGGTAGGGATACCACTCAGGTACAGTATTTATACCATGGAAGTACTTTTCAACAGCCATTTTTTGTATGAAGTTTTGACTAAGTGACTTATTAATACACAGGATGAATCAGGTACTGCTGCCATCAAGACAATTGAACTCGATGCAGCTCTAGGTGGACGTGCTGTACAATATCGTGAGGTTCAAGGTCAAGAGACAGAGAAATTCTTGTCCTGTTTTAAGCCATGTATTATACCTCAAGAAGGTGGATTTTCATCTGGGTTCAAGCATGCCGAGGCTGAGGAACATAAGACTCGGTTGTTCGTGTGTAAAGGAAAACGTGTTGTCCATGTGAAAGAGGTAAGTTCTTTTTCTGGGTAGGGTATTTTTGGGATTTTTTGCTTCGTTATGAATGTGGAATTGTGGTGACAGGTTCCTTTCAGTCGATCTTCGCTCAATCATGATGACATTTTTGTTCTAGATACCAAGTCTAAGATTTTCCAATTTAATGGTTCGAACTCGTCCATTCAAGAGAGAGCAAAAGCATTGGAAGTTGTTCAATATGTTAAAGATACATATCACAATGGAAAATGTGAGATAGCTGCCATTGGTAAGTTAAAGATGGATCTGTTAGTTGGATGTGAAAGATGATCATTGAGGAATATCAGTTTGTGAATTAACTTTTTGTAGAGGATGGAAAATTGATGGCTGATTCTGAAACTGGAGAATTTTGGGGCTTTTTTGGTGGCTTTGCTCCACTTCCAAGGAAAACATCTAGTGATGAGGATAAGCCTCTTGATTCTCATTCAACAAAGCTATTTGGGTAATATATTTTCTCCTTTTTAGAAAATCCTACCAATGTTACTATGTAATTGAATATCAATGTGCACACACATCTCTTCAGCAAGTTACAATGATTTTGAATAGAATTGTCAGCTATGCTAGTCATAACCAATGACCATCAATAAATCTTAAAACTAAATACTACTTTCCTGTGAGATTGAAAGTTGGTAACCATTTACTATGTACCTCTAAACTCTGTACTGTAGTTCTGAAAGCTATTTGTTTGCTTTTAAAGAATTGAGAAGGGGCAACTGGAACCGGTTGATGCTGGATCTTTGACAAGAGACCTGCTAGAAACACACAAATGCTATATTCTAGATGGTGGATATGAAGTATTTGTATGGATGGGAAGAAATACCTCTCTTGACGACCGGAAGAAAGCAACTGCAGCTGCCGAGGTCAGCTCATCCTGTACTTTTGAATCCATTTTACCTGTGCAACATGGCATTATAGAATTTGTTATTAACTTGTGTTGTTAAATGAACAGAAACTGGTGCATGGACCTGATAGACCAAGATCACAAATCACTTGCGTGATCGAAGGTTTTGAGACAGCGACATTCCGATCTAAATTTGACTCATGGCCTCAAGTTACTAATGTAGTGGTGTCGGAGGATGGTCGAGGAAAGGTTGCAGGTTAGAAAGTATAAACTTTCCATCGGTATTGTCCATGTATCAGTTTTAATCTATATTGCCACCAGAAATTCATTTCTTGTGTTTTTGGTGTCTAATTTAGCTCTTCTGAAGCGCCAAGGAGTTAATGTCAAGGGTCTTCTAAAAGCTGATCCCGTAAAAGAAGAACCCCAGCCATACATTGATTGCACTGGGAACTTGCAGGTGTGGCTTCTGAAGCTCTCACAATTCATTGTAGGAAAGGAGTCTGCAGAAGAAATTTCTTCTTTCTTTCTCCTAGCCTCTGAGGATTCCTTCTTGGTTATTTTTAATATTTTTCGAGCCCGTTTCTTCTTTTGGAGCTCTAACTAAATAATTTTATTCTAATGGCTCTCTTCTTCTTGTTCTCTCTACCCATATATAAAAGCCAATTTCAGTTAATTCAGGAAAAAGAAAAAAATCCGGTCTGTAGTCGGTTTGTATTTCAAGGGATGCCCAGAAGTAGAAAGTTTCAAGTATATTTGAACAAAAAAAAGGACCTGATGTGAATCTAGTTTGATAATTTGTGTACTTCCTGTTCAAGAACAAGTGACTCGAATATCATTAAAGGGCGTTTACGCATAGAGGATGACTAAGAGTTCATCCAGGCATCTATTTAGCTATGAGAAGTATAATGGAATCTCTGATATCTGTCAAGTATATGAATTAGCAGTGGCTAATCAATCCAAGATCATAATTTACGTTTTAGGCGTTCTGGAACTTCTTTTTTATGAGTTAATTTGTAAATATAGCTAACTGTTTTTCTTCTATGGTCAACAATTCCTGTTCCCCCATGACACAGGTTTGGCGAGTTAGTGGCAGTGAAAAGATTCTCATTCCTGCCTCCGACCAGTCCAAATTTTACAGTGGAGATTGCTATATCTTTCAATACTCGTACCCTGGAGACGAAAGAGACGAATATCTTATAGGAACATGGTTTGGGAAGCAAAGCGTTGAGGTAATAAATGCTCCCAAAGCTTCTAATGAAGAAATCACCAGCTTATCACAACAAAATTTAACTAGCTTATCGTCCAGTTAAGCATTCAATTCCTACACTTTAACATGATGGCTATGGGAGAAGTTAACATCATAAATTAGTCGTATGTTAAGATATTTTTTGGTAACTATGAACTGGGAAGACTGTAATTTGTTATGTTGGGATAAATCCATGCTATCAGTTGTAATATTTCATTATACAGCATCTTAGATTTCAATTATTCAATGTATGTTCTCTCCCTTATTGTCTGATTTCCTTTTTGTGCATCTCCCTCAGGAAGAAAGAGCTTCAGCATTATCACTGGTGAACAAGATGGTTGAGTCATTAAAGTTTCTTCCAGTCCAGGTAGATTCATCACTTGGATTGTTACTTGATGTACATTTATGTCTTTAATATCTTCTTGTTTCTGATTCATTACATTGTATCCTAGGCACGCATTTACGAAGGGAGTGAACCGATACAATTTCATTCAATTTTCCAAGGCTTTGTTGTCTTCAAGGTCTGTTAGATTCAAGCTGCATTTAAAGAAAGTAGAAGGAGAAATCTTATTTTCCTTGTTCCATGTCTGCTATTTGTTTATCTGAAAGATAATATGATGAATTACACTTCAGGGAGGCCTAAGTAAGGGATACAAGAATTATGTTGCGGAGAAGGAAATTCAAGATGAAACTTACCAAGAGGATGGGATTGCATTATTTAGAGTCCAGGGCTCTGGACCTGAAAATATGCAAGCAATACAAGTAGACCCGGTCAGTACTTTTCATAAAGTGGTTTAACCTTTTTGTACCATGACGTTCCGGTAGTTCTTTAGTCATGCACGCTTATGACAAGGATGTCTTTAGTTAAATGATATTGAGACAGTAAGTTTAAATGGATAAATTAGAGGTATTTTGAATCATTTATGTTTTCCCATCACTCTCACTCGCAAAGTAGATGCTAATTTGATTTGAGAAACTAAGTGTCTGAACTATTAGTATCACTTAAAGAGAGGAAATGACATTGAAGGGATTCAAACATTAGACCTTTTGTTTCAATTTCATGTTAAATCAGTACTACACGTAACCCGAAAGCTATACTTTTTACCTCAAAGCTTATATATTCTCCTTTGTCAGGTTGCATCGTCTTTGAATTCCTCCTACTGCTACATATTGAATAGCAGCTCCACTGTCTTTACATGGACTGGAAGCCTTACAAGCTCAGATAATCAAGAACTTGTTGAGCGGTTGCTGGATTTGATAAAGGTTGTGTACTTTCTCTCAACCGAGTTTGTTATAGAAGCTTCTTGATAATGTGTTCTGTAGGAAAAAAAACCTGATTACATAAATTTATTGCATCTGTCATTTCACATCCACAAGCAATCCTTTGGTGAGCTATACCAAATCTTATTTTGGCAAAGAAGTCGAGCAAGTTCAAGTTTTGTTTAACAAAGACAGGCTAGAATTCTTATTTTACTGAATCTTTAACCAAATGGTTAGCATCTTGCATACTGTTTTATATCATAACATTTTCTTGTTGATTTCTTACATGTTTTCCTATTGTCAGCAGCCCAATGTACAGTCTAGACCACAAAAAGAAGGCACAGAATCTGAACAATTTTGGAATTTGCTGGGAGGCAAATCTGAATATCCTAGCCAAAAAATTGCACGAGATGCCGAGAGCGACCCTCACCTATTTTCTTGTACCTTCTCTAGAGGTCTGTATTATTCTTCCTGCTGGTGAAAGCTGTAAGCTTTATCTTGTACCTTCAATTCTGCTAAACTTTTAAATTTGACCCCTTTTCCTTTGATCTTGTGATGATTACGCCGATGTGCAGGGAATTTGAAGGTACATCCCTTTCTCGTTCCAGTCCATAGATATATGTGTTTTTCATTTCGTATTTACTGAGTTTTATTGGGAAATAGATGTATTCCTATGATGTCCTATTTTCACTTTAGTTTGATTCTTTGTTTTAATAGCTGGGGTAAGTAGTGGGAGCCTAAGGCCTTATGCCCCTAGTCCCTATCTGTCCCAAGTCAGTTCTTCAAGACAAGAAGAGTTTAAAGCTATCAAAGTTATTAAATTTTCAACTTAGAGCTTGAACCCAAACCTTGGAGTATCTCCAAATATCCCAAGCAAGGATGCGGAGATACTCAAACCCTTCTCACTAGAACAATCATTTGTCCTTGGTATCTATAAATACTCAACATTGACAAGCTAGTGACAGTAAATAACCTTATGTCTTCCCCAAGAAGGTTGGTTAATGTGAAGTTTTGCAGGTGGTGGAGGTACATAACTTTGATCAAGATGATCTGATGACTGAAGACATGTACATTCTGGATAATCACTCAGAGATATTTGTATGGGTTGGCCAACAAGTCGACTCTAGGAGTAGACTACAAGCTTTAACTATTGGTGAGGTACGAATAATGTATTCCCTGCATAGTTATGTTAATCTTGTAAGCTCAGGGCAGCCAACATGACATGTTACTTTTCATTGTCTCTCCTCGTTTCATCCGCTATTCTATTGGGAAGGAACTTCATGGCATCCTGTCGGTCTCTTTCTTTTCTAATATCATCAATATCATGTCCTTTCCATATCTTGGGAGTCTGATACTAAAAGTTTACAGTTTGTTCATTGATAATTTTGTCTTTGAAAGTTTCTGGTCAACTTTTCAACCAAACGGAGGATTTTCACTATTGATAACTTTCTTTGTATCGCAACAGAAATTCCTTGAACATGATTTTCTGTTGGAAAGTCTATCTTCTAAAGCTCCAGTGTATATTATCACGGAAGGAAGTGAACCTCCATTCTTCACACGCTTCTTCACATGGGACTCTGCAAAATCTTCAGTAAGAATTCAACAATTATTCTAGTATTACCTAAAAATGTTAGCAAGATATTGACATTTTCAATCATGAACAGATGCATGGAAACTCGTTTCAAAGGAAACTTACAATAGTCAAAAGCGGTGGCACTCCTACTGTAGATGTAAGGTTTTTTCTATCAATAGTTTCACTTCTTAAACTCCCCACCAAACACCCGCACAAAAGATCAATCTGCAGTTCGTTCCTTTCGATTATTGTATCACTTCTTTTAAAAGACACGTAATCCAATACTACATACACTTTATGTCTTCCCTTGATTATCGACTGTCCTGCTCCACATTCTTTTCCTAGTTTCCTGGTCTTTATTGCATCCATTAAGAAGTGACTCCTCTATTACTCAGAAACCAAAGAGGAGACCAGTAGCATACGGTGGGAGATCTGCAGTGCCAGACAAATCACAGCGATCTAGGAGCATGTCTTTTAGTCCTGAAAGGGTCCGTGTAAGGGGGAGGTCTCCTGCTTTTAATGCATTGGCTGCTAATTTTGAGAACCCCAATGCAAGGAACCTTTCTACGCCACCCCCAATGAATAGAAAGATCTTCCCGAAGTTAATAAGTTCGGATTCAGCAAAATTGTCTGTTGCAAAATCTTCAACATTGGCAGCCCTTAGTGCTAGTTTTGAAAGACCACCACCAGCTCGAGAAGCTATCATACCGCGTTCTATAAAAGGTAGGCTTCGACTTTTAACTGTGTGGAGACTATTTTCATGCCATTTGTAACTGACATAAAACCTTATATTGTGGTGAAGTGACTCCAGAGCCTACCAAGCCTAAACCAGAGACTAGTAATAATGATAAGGAGATTAAGGATAAGGAGAAGGAGAACAACTCAGTCCCAGTCAGAATCGAAACTCTCACCATACAAGAAGATGTGAAAGAAGGCGAGGCCGAAGATGATGAAGGCCTCACAATATATCCATACGAGCGTCTAAAAACTACGTCAGCCGACCCTATTTCAGACATTGATGTGACAAAACGAGAGGTAATACTAAAACAGTCATGTTTCAAGTTGAATCTATATATAGATTCTTGACATGATTTTTTCTGAGATGTTTAATTTTGCAACTCTGCAGACATACCTTTCATCAGAAGAATTCAGGGAGAAGTTTGGAATGACTAAAGACGCCTTCTATAAGTTGCCAAAATGGAAACAGAATAAGCATAAAATGGCCCTTCAACTATTCTAACTGTTCTTATATGGTTTCCTTTGATCATTTCACTCAGTTTCCTGCAGTTATATATTACCAGTGGAAGAAGCTTGGCTTTCAAATCCATATGTTGTTAGATTAGATCTAAGGAGCCTCCTGAACGGATTGAACTCAACTGGTAAGGAGTGGAAGGGACAGCTTCAGTGCATTTTTAGCTGCTTCTGTTGCCCAGAGACTTGTGTTCATGATTGATGGACGAAACTCGAGTTTTGTTTTTTTCGCCTGCAGTTGATTGCAAACATCTTTAATTTTTTTTCTGCTCTTTATTAAGCATTTGGTGTTCATTTTTATGTTAAAAGCTATGTTGTGAGCTTGCATTTTGTTTCTATTTTTGAACATATGTTTAGTTTTCAGTTTTATTTTTTCATTCAATTTTTTTCAGGAGAGCAATTAGGTGGCCTGCAATTTATTTTTCTTTGATTTGCATTTCTTGAGGAAGAACAACTGTGTGTACAGCAGAGTGTAATATTTTAGATGACAATAAACTTATAAAAGTGTGATTTTTCTTATATCTTCCCATCTTAGATATCTTGCACTCCCTCTTCCATTTCAAAGCAAAATATCGTCTGCCTACCGTTTGTAGTGGATGTTTGATATTTCAGGGTTATCGACCACCAACCGACCGACCAAGGAATTTTTATACCTCAAAGTCCAATTACAAGGAGGAGAGTCAAGAAGTTACAACAAGTTTTAGTCTGGTGAGCTCGTCAAAGAAAATTCTAGAAAAGGTTGGAGACTTCCTTACATGTTGTGCAAAGTGTTAAACTTCAAGATAGAGATGCATTAAATGCAATTTAATTGACACTTAATGAACTCTCGGAGTTAATTTATGAAACTAGTCCAAAGAAGATTAATAAGCATATTCTATTTATTAGATTATTTAATTAAAAATTAAATATTTGTCTATCATTTAAGTATAGTTTTTGTCATTTAAGTATAGTTTTTAATATTGGAGTTAATATTATACTGTAATTCACATAGGTTACCATATTCATGGTTAACTAGCCATTTTAACATGGAAGTTATGGGTATTTTTCATCAACTACCATTTTAATAGAGAGGTTATGTGTCGCTGGGTTAAGTTAGGGTCAAGTTGTCAAAGGCTAGATATCACGTTTTAGAATTGAAAAGAATAGAGTTTCTATGTTAGGAGAGTGTCAAGAGCTTAATTTAGAACTTGCATGCTAGAGTCATTAAGTAATATTGATCAAACCCGAGATTCTAATCACAAGTTTTCTTTACTTTTTGATCTTGATCATTAAGGTAATCAATTTCAAAACTTTTCCTTAGGTTGATTTCGAAAGAAGTGTCCAATTAGTAAGGTGGCTTGAGTTTTACCGATGTGATAAGAGTTATAGTCGAGGCCTAAGGTACAGAGTGATTATAGACACTATAACTTGTAGATACCATTTTGAGCCAGGATTGAATCTAAAACAAAAGTTCCCAAACTTTCTAAATTTTTATCGACAAAAACTAGATCATAACCTAATTTCACAACAGCTAAGCGTATGTAACTTTCCCTTCAACAAAAAATTCTGATTCGTTCCTATCAAGAACTCACGAACTCAACTCAAAAGAAGATTCAAATTGATAACTCAATCCAATTCATTCAGTTTCCCCTGTTAACACGCCTAATTCCAATTATAACAATACTCATCCCTATTTCCAGATTTAGAGGCAAACCATCAATAATCTCTAAACTAAAAACATGGATCACTTAACTGAAAGCACAGCGGTAGGGAGAACGCTGCTCTTGCGTCGAATTCAAGACCTTATCTGTGCATTCCTTGTGATTGTGATTGTGAAGTAAGATTCGAGCAAAGCGATCACGATCCTACAACGTAAAGGAAGAATCAAGGTCAGAAATCACCGCAATGACTTTAAGAGATGATACCGGTGACGTAGAAATCAAATTAAGTAGCAGATTCGTTTTTGATCAAAGACAATCTAATCTAGGAGTTCGAATTGAAAACGATTCCACGCAGAGTTGTGGATAGCGAACGAATTGGAAGCTTCTGGGCTCTAATTTCGTCATTTTCTGTAAATGGAAGCGATTCCAAAATTGATGTGAGAATCGAATGCTAACAAAGACTAAAAAGAGAAGAAAAAAAAGTTAATTTATTAATTAATTTTTTAAAATAATTAAATAATAATAATAAAAAACAACTCAATAACATTAACTCGACCAAGTTGGGTTCAGTTGAGTTGGGGTGTTAACTCTATTTCCATAAATAGTCACCAACCTAACTAAGATCTCACATTAATTGAAAAGAGAATGAGTGCGTACAAGAACGTTGGGCCACGAACAGGGTGGACTGTAATGACAGCTCAAACTCACCGTTAGCAAATATTGTTCTTATTGAGCTTTCCCTTTCGAGTTTCAAAATGCGTCTGTTAAGGAAAGGTTTTCGGGCTTTCGCTCAAGGCTTTAAAACACTTATGCTAGGGAAAAGTTTTCGCACCCTATAAAGGGTATTTCGTTCTCTCCAACCAATATGAGATATCAAATGAACACTGGGCGATGTGTCAGCTTTAGGAGGACACTGGGTGGTGTGCCAGCGAGAACACTGAGTTCCAAAGAGAGTGGATTGTGAGATCTCAAAAGGAAGATTTTACATCGGTTGGAGAGGGAAACGAAACATTTTTACAAGTATGTGTAAACCTCTTACCCTATCAGACACATTTTAAAAGCATTGAGAAGAAAATCAAAAGGAAAAACCCAACGAATTATCTAGTAGCGGTGACTTGGGCTGTTATACATAAAACTTAACGTAGTTTCGATTTTTTTTCTTTTTTTTAAAGTTTAAGAATGGTAGGGTAGAGAATCGAACCATTGAACTTTGAAGCCATAATTAATATTTTATATATTGTTCGGTAACTCGGGATTCAATCTTTTACCTTTATAATTATTAATTAAATAATACAAAGATGAAGAATTGACAGAGATTAGTAAATTCATAATTAATTAACCGATTATTTAAATAAATTCTCTTTATTATTATTATTCACCATGGACAATAAATAAATTAAATTTAAAGCATATTGCAAATTTCATTCGTATCGGATAGTAATTAATATCTTATTTATTAAATTATGCTTGGTCGACCATAATATATATTTATATTAATTTATATATATTTGGTATTATATTAATAATTATTTCGGGTCAACTTTAAAATACTTTTACTAAAATTTTAATTTTCTACTTAATAAATTCAATGAATTTTTAATTTATATTTAATAGATACTTATTAATATATATATATATATATATATAATTAGAGATTAAATAAAAATTAAAAAATTTATTCTATACAAATGATTATTATACCATGTACATATTTATTATAGAAACAAAAATTCAATTTTTTTTTTCATCTCTATTGGACTAAAAACAAAAAACAAAAACAAAACTTTAAAAGGAAATGAAAAATGATTATTATACCATGTACTTGTTTTTAGGAATAATTTAAATTATTTTAATATTAAATTAAATTAATAAAAATATTTTATCTAAAAATTACCTCTAAACTTTAAAAAAAAAAAAAAATGTAAAACATAATTACCGAATTTAGAATGAAAATCGTTAATATTTTGTTCTAAAAGAACTTTTAATAATATTTAAAATATATGTTTTGACGTTAAAAAGTTTCATTATATTTTTCCACGTTAAAAAAGGTTAAAAAAAAAAATACTCTTTTCATTAAAGTTATGTTTAAAAAGTACCGATTGCAATTTTAAAACCAACATTAACACTATTTACCTTTATAAAAAAAGTTCAAAAAAATTATTATTGTTAACTTACGATGAAAAATGTATATGTACACTTTATAGATTATTTCTAAACGAAAAATATATTTTTATTTTTTTTTTAAATTAAAGGAATTTTTTAAGTTTTGAAAATTAAAGATATTTTTGATAACCAATGAGTATTTTTTAAAGTTAATTATTAATAATTTCTATCCAAATCTAACCTTAAATATATTTTTATATTTTGATTTATTTTTTATTTTAAAAATATTATTAAAATAAAAGGTAAAATTTAAGAGTATTTTTATTAATTTATTCGAAAGGAGCTTTAAAAAAAAAAATATAGAAGGCGATGCTTAATAGGAATTTATAATATTTAAAAAGTTTACCAATAATGGTAAAAAGATCCGATAAAATCACAATTTAATTTTAAATAGCATAACGTAGCTGCGAGGTTTTTAATAAATAAAATACTTGATAATTTAACGAATTTTTATCCATTTTATTCGATATTTTAGGAGGAATTTTTAAATTATAATTTTCTATTTATAAAGTATTTCAATTACATGAAAAAAATACTTTTTAAATTATTATTTATATTATTATTAAATAAATAAATAATTGAAAGTGCATGAACAATTAACTCAAATTGAAGATCGGTTTTATTTTTATTTATTTTCATTCTAGTAATAATTAATTTAGTCCAAATTTTTTAAAACAAAAAAAAAAAAAATTAAATTCACATATTATATTTATTATTATAATAAAAATAAATATACTTCATAATTACTTATTTTAAACCGATAACAATTAATAAATTTTGTAACTCATCAGAATGGTTAACATCGCATGTACATTTCTTACTACATGGCATCTCACATGACTTACATTATATGACATATTACATAACATGAAAGTACATTCCAGTTGCTTAAGCATCTCATGACATAGTTCGATAATAATACGTGTATCCATGACATCGATCAACATTTTCATGACATATATTACTAACATATTATTCATAACTTCACATAACATAAACAGTGGATTATGTTTCATAGCATAAACAATCACATAATTCATACATCATATAATCATATCACATAATAAAACATGGTGTATGCAGGGGCCACAGGGCACGCACCATCATACAACACATAGCTAATTCCTCCAACAGTAAGATCAATATTTCATAAAATATTCAAGCCACGTGGTACTTACATTTATCAGGTAAAGGCAAGGCACCAATGTATTGACGGTAGAGCTGAGGATACCATGGAAGTTGGAGAGGAGATATTTTAGGAGTTTACGATTATTTGATTGTTTTAAGTTAAAGCATTGAAATTCAATTATTGAAAGGAGATAGATTTGTTTTGGATTTATGAATCAAAATCTTTGATGTATTTTTCTAAGGTTATTTATGATGAGTTTCCACGTAAATGTTGGGTGACGTCACTAATTAGGTTTAGAAATTAGGGGCGTTACAAATTTAGTCTCTAATTTAAAATTTATAATTAATTATTAGAGAATGAATTAGAAATAAAATATATTTAAAAAATAACAAAAACTAAATCTTTATATTAAAAAATTAATGTTTAATTAAAAAGTATGTTTTAAATTATTAGTCCACGTAGACATAATTTTTTATAAATAAGATTTTAATTACCATTTTAACATACAAAAGTTTAATCACAATTTCTATAAAACTTATTAATATTTAATATTCGTATAATTAAATTAAAATAATAATTATTTTTTGTTTACGGAATTTAATGTGAAGACAAAAAGGCAATCCAGAGAAAGGAGTTTCACGAGATTCCGAGATTTGAAGTGGCTTGATGAGGACTGTTATGTTCTCGAATTTCTGATCAAAATGCCAACAATATAAATCAAGATTCGAGCTCAAGGCTATGGATTAACAGCCTCCGGCTGAGATTCTCGATCTGAAACACGAACAAGAATTCGAGCAACAAAAAGGGCTTCTAAATGAGCGGCGAAAAGCTTACGCCATCCTCCGGAGCTTCTTCTGGTTCTGTGGATGTTGTTAAGGGCATCAATGGCCTCGATAAAGTCGTCCTTCGCGATCCGCGTGGTAGCTCTGCTGAGGTATTGCCGGATTTGAATGAATGATTGAGAAATGAGATGATTGCTTTAGGATTTTGGATTTTGGATTTTGGATTCGGGATTCGGAATTTCCTCCCCGTTTGTGTGTGTTGCTCAAATGTGGAGTTGATCTGATTTTAACTTAGGGTATTCGTGTTCTTTTAATTTATGCGAGTTCTGTCTCTTAGTTCGTGGATTTCTGTATTGAATTTTATGTTCTATCGGTTTAAAACTTTGTGATCTGTTCTTGTATTTATAGAATACATGTGAATTTGACATTTCCGATCTCTAATTTTTATGTGCGTCAAAGATCTTAGATACTGTAATGAATTCTATAGCTTGACAAATTTTCCCCATTCAGAAGGGGGTGACGGACTGCAGAGAAAACAATCCTGTGACTTTGAAAGCCCACTAACTCCTTTTAATTCTAAATCCTGCAATATTTATTACTCAATGAATTTGTTGTTTTTTCTTACCATTCTACTCAATTCCACAATTGTATGTTTCCATTTCGTTGCTCAGAGTTGAGCAGATTCCTTTTTTTGTTTCTTTATTTGGCTACTGATTCATGTTTGTTCTATTCAGGTCTATTTATATGGGGCCCACGTGACATCTTGGAAGAATGACCATGGGGAAGAGCTGCTTTTTGTTAGTAACAAGGTGCTATTGAAATTTCTTCATGGATTTTTTCGATCAACTAAATCGTTCTCATTTCTTTGATACGCTGCCTTCATTGCATTTAAATTCGTCACTTTATGTGTAATGAAAGATATTTGGTAGTTGGGTGCTGATAAGGTATGCAATTACATAATAGAAGAATTCTTGGTTAGAACAATAGAAAGGATGAAACATAGTATAACATTCCTGGAGTGCCCTTCACAATCGATTCGTTTGTAATAGAAAGCTTTCAAGGGTAGCTCATCGGTTTGGTTGCCGTGTTTCCCCCTTCCGGTAGGAGTTCAAGCCCCATCTTCCATTGCTCTTGTTTGTGGTGTAATGTAATATTTCCAAAAAAACCTATACTTTTGTATCACTATGTTCTTTTGATTAACCTTGATTGGAGTTAGTTACTTGGTGGTGGTCATCTCTTCCCCGGTTATTAGTTTGTGACTCGTTTGGGTTGTCGTTGAACACATTCTGTTTCGTATTAAAACGAATTGTTGAAGAGTTCAGAGAACGTTCAAATTATTTGTATATTTTTCTATTCTAACTTTCTGAAAATCAT